ATTCTTAATTAGACAACGCATATAACAGACAATTACAAGTCCGTGTCCCACAGCACTCCACTATAATTTAATCCACCAGACTTAGTGGTAGAGTTAGCTCCACTGTGGGGATGGTGCAACCTGCTATACCCCAGTCTGTAGACGGTAGCCCCGCTGCTACCTGGACAGGTACAGGTAGTGTACGTGTACCTGGTCTGGTTACCCCATACCACCTGCCTGTGTACCCAGCGACCTACAGAGACCTGCTTAGAACAGCCATGAGGATGTGACACTATGATGGTTACCTTGTCCACGTCTCTACGACTCTTGTATTTGTCACTTACTGTCTCACTTAGACCATTAAACCGCCCCAACATCCCCTTGAGTTTATCCGCTATGTAGGAGTCATGCGTCACACAAAACAACCAACACAAGTCTCCCTCAGCGTCTGACCCACCCACCTTCCACCCATAAATCTTGACCACTGGACTTGCGTCATCATCAAACCACAGCCTACAGCTGGACTGTCTCGCCTCACTCTCATCAAAAACCACATGTCTGGCTGTCACCACACCGACCTCCCACCACACTTTGCTGGGCGTGTCCGAGTGGTCACATTCAGGACATGGACAGGGTCTGTAGGGAGGGTACATGTTTCCCTCTGTGTGCCGGGTCACCTGGTCCACCCTCCCAGTCCCTGTCCTCTGTAAGTTCTGTCCCCTGATGTTGTAGCAAGGATATGGATCTTGAGTGCCGGGTAGAAACTCTGGTCTGTGTCGACTGGTGAACTTAACGGCTATCCTGACTGTTAGGTCGGCCAGGGCTTTTGTAACGTCACACACATCGTTGTCGTGGTAACCAAAAGAAAGATAATTTACAGGTACAAACCCTTCATGGCCAGGATTTTTCTGGCAGTTTGCCCGGTGTGTGTGTAGATCTGCCTCACTTTGATCTTCCAGACATTCTTGTACTTCATGTGTACCTGTACAGGTAAACAAAACAATTTTATTACTGTAAACCTATCAATAGCTATTTGATTTTGACACACATAAATACAAGAAACAAATCCACAACCACCAACTGTCACAACTACCACAATATAGGTCTGGTAAGTAGGTCACCAACCAGTTCTACGGCTCAATAAAACCTGCATGAGCGATAGCACTGGTTGGTGACCTACTTACCAGCCCAATACCCCGCGAAGTGTGAAATATAGAAACAAAAAGTAACATGAAGTGTCATGACCTGTAAAGTATGTTGATAACTCTTCTCTTATCAAGCTGTTGTGGTCATCTAGACTATCCTTTACTTCACTGGTCATACGGCTGTGGTCATCTGCACGTCTTTCAGTTGTTGATGAATTATCCATTGTATGCGCAGGTTTCTACCAACGTTATTGATGCCTAAATCAACGAAAACAATAATGCTATTCTACCATACAAAATACTGTATAAAAAGTCAAAACGGCGTGTGTGTGTGTAGGAGTGGGGGGGGGGGGGGGGGGGAAGGGACAGGGAAGAGAGAAGGAGTAAATGTAGCGGTTGTCTAAAGTTCAGTACTTATTGAGGTAATCTCAAGTTTGTCAACTTGATATATCTCTTTAAGTTGTTCAAGAGTTCAATTGAAAAATATTATGTGTCGGTGTGGTCGGATTGTCAATGCCCATAGATTCTAGTTGCTAAAGCGAAAAGTTTGATCATCTGGGCATATGAGGCTCGATAGCTGGGGCAGAGGCGTAGCGACCCTTCCCGGCGCCCGGGGACAAACTTTCAATTTCGCGCCCCCCTCGGGAGCAAATATTCAATTTGCGCAGCTAAAATGACATTTTAATTTGTTTTTACAACCCATTTTGGCGCCCCCTAAGGTCGGCGCCTGGGGACGTATGTTCCCTCCTCCCCCCCCCATCGTTACGCCTCTGAGCTGGGGACAGTAACCTATCTAGGAGAGAGAACTTCAAAATCAAACAACTGCTGCCATGTAATTGTAGTTTGTTCTGGGATGGGCAAAGGCTATTGTTACGGGTCAGTTTGAGGTCAGGTTAGAATAGGGTAGAATAGTCTCGAATTTAGGGGAGAGTGCGTGTGTGAGTTGAGTTCATCCTAGTGCAGGGGTTCCCAACCTTTTTTTTACTCTAGAGCACATTCTAAAATATCGGTAGGATGGCGGGCACCACCTATACCACCTATTTTAAATCGACAAACTCCTTCCAGAGGCGTAGCGACCCTTCCCGTCACCCGGGGACAAAACTTTCGATTTGCACCCCCCCCTCAAACTTTCGATTTGCACCCCCCCCCCTCAAATTTTCGATTTGCACCCCCCTCAAATCTCAAGCTTTCGATTTCCATCCCCTTCAATCTTTCAATAATGTTTATGAAAAAAATTCTGTCTCTGTCGAATAGTGAGAGGCGGGCACATACGAATCGTTCGGCGGGCGCCATGGCGCCCGCGGGCACGGGGTTGGGAACCCCTGTCCTAGTGTGTAGTAACCCCCGTGTATTATGTATTGTAATCCCAAGGCCGAATGCGGGTATAAAAGCGCGAGTGAACGATTTTGGGGGAGGTCAGCGTTTAGTTGGTAGCGATTAGGTTGAGGGCTACTCTGTAATGTGAATATGTGAGACCGAATAAACGTATTGAACGTAAACACGAGTCGTTCTTGAGTTGAAACTAACCAGGACGTAACAGCTATGCAAGCTAACCCATAAAGAAAACTAGGCTGAAATCGGAGTAAACGGCCATATGGCGCATAACATATTGACAAGTAATTCTTGGAGGAAACCCCTTCCAACATTTCAATTAATTAAGTACGAGGAAGAAAAAATATTACTTTACTAAGCCTTAACTAACAATATATATATATACTAATTAAAAAACATTTTAATGTCATGCAAGCTAGAAATGTTGGATGAATAACATGACAATACCAGCTAACAACATGTTAATAACATAAAATACATGATTCATAATAAAATATCTTGTTCTAAAAATAAAAGGGCACTAAATATTTTTTCGTTACATTCATGTAGACTGAAGCGATTAAATATCATTAAATCAAGATGTCAATTTTGAATGTTATTGTTATATCACAGATTTAAGTTGTTTGTGAACAAGTTAATAATCAACAACACTTATGTAGAGACATAAGAAAATAAACTATGAAGCACTACACTAGCCCACCTACCTGTGTTTTAAAGACGCTGGACTATCGATTTTAGTGGGAGATTAATTCATTATAGCGTTGCACTGGTTTTATAGATTTGGGTCATAGGCTAAGTATAACGTTACACAAAATAAAGGTTTTCCCCAATAGAGTGGGAGGGGGGTTGGGGGGAAGATAATCAGCGTTGTGTTTCTGTAACTCAGTGTGACTTTTGTAAGCCAGTTATCTTAGGCTTATCAATGTTTAACAAAGCGCTAAAGCACTAGATGTTATTGTTTTTATTGTACGAATGAAAGCATGAAATAAAGTAGGCAACACATTTTTACGTATACGATGTTGTTTAAAAATTGAAGCTACTACGTCGCTGTTTGTATTAGTCTTATGATGATCATTAAGGGAATATGATAATGAATGCTGCAGTTTTTATATGGGTTGAGTTTTTAGGATCTCGTGGAGTAGAGGTCCCCAGCTGCGGCGTGTCCAGTGTTTCTTCCAGACTTTTTTCTCCGGGGGGGGGGGGGGGGGGCTAAGCGCCCCCCACCCCCCCCCCCCCCCCGAAGAGATGCCTGGAAGAAACTCTGGGCGTGTCTTGATTTGTTAGGTAACAGCGTTCGTTCAGTGTTGGGTAGAACTGCATGTTTGTCTTCTTCCTGACATGGCGATTTAGGGGTCGTCCATAAATGACACCCGACCTCGCTACGCCACTGATAGGAATTGATCAAAATACTCTATGCTCACAGAGTTCTGACAAGATTTTGGAAAATATAGATGTTTTAAAGAAAATTTCAACAGCAATTTTGAGGAGGGGGTTGTAGGCTGAGGTGTGACGTCATTTTAGGGGGGATGTCTGGCTTTTTGTGACGAAGTGTGGCGAGGGGGAGGTAAAAATCGTAAAAAAAAAGCATGACGTCATTTATGGATGTCCCCTTTTGGTGTTTCCTTTTTTTGTTTTTGTAGTTGAGCCTAATATAGTATCGGATGATTGTTGGGTTGTCTGAGTGGGTGGTAAAGCTTCGATTATTTGTATATGGGGCTATTATACTGTTGATTATCAGTGCTTTTAGGATTGTGTCATTACAATCCCAGGCTTTTTTTAAAGAATGCCTGAAATGGGTGGACAGAGTGCAAATCAATGGGATGATTTCAGTTTACAAATCCTGATGTTATCATTGTTCTTTAAGTCAAAACATTGCAGATGGTAGTTTCTCAACACAACTGTGAAACATATAATAGTTGCACTTTTTTAGCATAATTAACACTTATTAAGTGTTGAACTATATAAACTAAATTTTTAATTAAAGGTAATATCAATTTGTGAACTTCATTCTGGTAGTGTAATGGTCAGTACTTGACCAGGCATTTTCACATTCCACTAGCAATGTTGGGTACCTACCACAGTTAGGAGGACTGAGAAATCTACAAACACGAGCTTTGTTTGAGTACTGGAGACGGTTGGTATACTCGTGTGCTTTTTATGTGGTTATTTTTTTTTCAGAGCAGATAGAGGTTTATGTTAACACATATAAACATTGGCGATCATAACCTCAAATTTGGTTAGTAAAATAAAGAGATGTATTTTATAACCTTACATCAAATGTATCTAGTAACTTACAGACATTTATTTATAAGCTTTACAATCGTGAAACCACCTCATCCTTGTAGCTTCAACTTGTACCATGAACAACATCACCTTTATTTGGTAAAATAAACACATTTAAAATAAAATCTAACATTAAATATTTTTGGTAAAATTCAGACATTTATTTTTACAATCTTACATCAAATGTATTTAGTAAAATAAGACATTTTATTTATATTTTCAATCTAACACCAAATGTATTAAGTAAAATAAGACATTTTATTTATATTTTAAATCTAACACCAAATGTATTAAGTTATATAAGACATTTTATTTATATTTTCAATCTAACTCCAAATGTATTAAGTAAAATACAGAGAATTATTTTTACAACACCAAATGTATTAAGTAAAATACAGACTTTATTTTTATAATTAAGTAAAATACAGACTTTATTTTTATAATCTAACAATGGTGAAACCACTGCCTCTTTGCAGTTTTGCCCCTGCATCAGCTTGAGCCACTTGAAAGAAAAGTTCTCCCCCTTTCTTTATGGAAACAACGGTTGATCCACAAGCTGATGTTAAGGCAGTAGTAACAAAAACTTCATTGCATAACACCTCCCCGATTAAAACATTAACTTGAATTAGTTTATTTTCATACTCTAGTAAGGTTGCAATGACGAGATAGATGCCATCTTCTGGTGCTACAAGCTTGCCCGTTGTCTGATTAAAATGGCAGCCGTTACGTTCCCACACATTATAGAATGTAGAAACAATGGATCCCCTGGTTACTGGTGTGTTGCTATCAACATGCACTTGACAGATGTAAGGTTTACATGAAGGGGATTCTGTTGGGAAAATGTGAAATGATTGTTAATATCATTAAACATTATGTACATAAGAGTATGTGTTTGTTTTTGTTATGCTGTGAAAAATGTATGTTTTTATGTGACATTGTGTGTGTGTGTGGGGGGGGGGGGGGGAAAAGAAAGGTGGCTATTGTGTGTTTGGCCATGGGAATGTGAAGGGTGTGCATGTTTTTTGTTTCTACTGACACTTCAATATCATCTGTTGTTATATTTTGTTTGACATGTATTTTATGTCTATAAGGTCTACTGATGTTTTAAAACGGCTGTTGTTTACACCATGTGTGAAGATCTATACATTTTCCATCCAGCTCAATATAGTCTGTTGTAAGACCACACATTGGTAATACACTGATGATATATGTAATGGAACTTAATAAGGCAACACTTATCCATAGTTGTAAGTAGTCAATGTTAAAATAGTTTTCTTATCTAGTTATAAACTTTATCTAGACTTCATAGCTGGAAGCTAATGTGTTTATAAACAACATAGCTGGTAGCTAATGTGTTTATAAACAACATAGCTGGTAGCTAATGTGTTTATAAAAAACATAGCTGGTAGCTAATGTGTTTGTAAGAACTTAGCTGGTAACTAAAGTGTTTGTAAACAACTTAGCATGTTGCTAATGTGTAAACAAAAGAATGCTTTTGTTGGAACTGTTGATTCTAAGTCAAGAGACAACCGCTAAGGCTCAGTGACAGGGAGTACAAGAGGTGTAACTCTTGCAAGACTACAATTCTCCCAGTAGACAGGGGTAGGACTCTATAGAGGTTGTCTATAGATAATTTTATCAGTCACCTGTACACCACCAGAAAATATGTGGTCTAAAATAAACAGGTATAACCATGTATCTCAAAAGTTAAAAAGATTAAATAAATAATAGCTAAATTTTGTTATTTGAAATCAAAAGTAAAACACTACACTTACTAACTGTGTTCAAAGGTGTTGAAAGCTTTAAAACATCCTTTACTTGATTTTCAAGCTTCAAAACATCCTGTACTTGATTTTCAAGCTTTAAAACATCCTTTACTTGATTTTCAAGCTTTAAAACATCCTTTACTTGATTTCCAAGCTTTAAAACATCCTTTACTTGATTTTCAAGCTTCAAAACATCCTTTAATTGATTTTCAAGCTTCAAAACATCCTTTACTTGATTTTCAAGCTTCAAAACATCCTGTACTTGATTTTCACGCTTCAAAACATCCTGTACTTGATTTTCAAGCTTTAAAACATCCTTTGCTTGATTTCCAAGCTTTAAAACATCCTTTACTTGATTTTCAAGCTTCAAAACATCCTTTACTTGATTTTCAAGCTTCAAAACATCCTTTACTTGATTTTCAAGCTTCAAAACATCCTTTACTTGATTTTCAAGCTTCAAAACATCCTTTAATTGATTTTCAAGCTTCAAAACATCCTTCGCTTGATTTTCAAACTGTAGAACAGTTAAAAAAAGATATTAAATTTAATAATTTAAAAAGTATTTTCAAAGATGACAAAGAAGAGGCCAACTATTTTTTTTTAAATATAGATAAATGTATTAAATAAAAACAATTTTTAAAAATTTACTTCTTTTGAATGTGTAGATCCCCTATAATACATTAATATATATCTCAAACAGAACACAATTCTCTAGTAACTGGTCAGTTTTTATCCTATGACACCTAAGTCTATGCTAACTGGTAAGTTTATATTCTTTATGATGCAAACTTAAATTAATAACTGGTTAATATGACACATACTCTTGTTACTGGTCATTTTAAATCTCCCTTAACACTAACAAAACTGGTCAGTTTACTTCCCTATGACATTGACATGATAAATGGATATGATATACTAGCTGTTACAATAACAATAAATCTGGTCAGTTTATATTCTGACAATAACAAAGCCTGTCAGTTTTAATTTGTATTAAAATGTATAACACAAAACACGGTAGGATATTCACCAAATTAATGGAGGTTTACCTGTTGAAAACACACACCCTACAATCACAATGTAAAATATCTGACACATCTTGAACACAATTAAATTTCTAAACAAGGCTACAAACTAGTTAAATAAAATATTGCTTTCATAAGTAAACACAAAAAACAACCTAATTAATTACCTTAGCATATAACTCATTTAAGTTACAAGTTGTATGTAGCATGTTTTCTTGTAGTTGGTCTTGTATAGAAGACACCAGAGAGCAATGAATTCTAACTTCTTGGGTTAGACTATCTGTCTTAAGTTCCATCTCTTGATTTATTGGGTTTAAGTTGTTTTCATATTCTTTGATTTTTAGAGAAAGTTTTTCTAGTGTTTTGTTTGACTGTGCTTCCTTTTCTTTTAAACTCTCAATTTCTTTGTTCAGCTCCTTTATTTTGTCATCTTGTTCTCTTATTTTTTGTCTGAGGCTTTCAAGATTTTGTTTTTGTTGATTACAAAATTGTTCTGCCATATTATTTTTTTCTGTCTGCAAGTTGTCTCTCCATTGTTTTATTTCTGATATGTCATCTTCAGTCTTTTGTTTGCTGTCTTGAAGAGAAAATAGAGCTTTCTCTATAAGTTCTAGTCGACTGATTATTTCTGTAATACATGTAAAATTAACACACAATATTTAAAACAATGAAACAAGTATAAACTTTAAAAGTAGAAGTATTACATGCTTAACTTAGCTTCTTTTTTTATATATTTATTTCAGTAAAAAAAAGCAACCAATTACTCGCTGTTTGTAGAAATTGTTTAGCCGCTTGAATTGTTGATTTACTGTCTTCATATTTTTCTGTTGATGTAGTTTGTGGTGCTGAGTGAAATAAATTGTCTTCATTACATGGTTGATATGAGTGCATACTTAAAAGTTTATTTTTGAGGGGTTTGTTTCTTGTCATTTTTGTTTAAGAAGATTTAACAGTGCTGCGGATGTAGTAGAGAAACATTTTTTGTTTTTGTTTATTGTCAGTATTGTTGGAATAGTGCACCACAGGTTTTCCAAGTACTTCAGGCTATAAATAGATGTGCATGTGATATGTCCAGTTATTTAATTTATTTCATTAGTTAAATATCTTGTTTCTTCTCTGTTGGTATTTTAAAATAGATAATTTAGTACATAAATACATCATAATATTCTATGATCAGTCTTTTTAAAAATTAAGTTATCAAATAAATTGTTAATTCTTCTAATTTTTGTTGATACTATGTATGCTTAATAAAAAAATCTAAAGGAATATTATACAAGATTAAATTTATAGTCATGTATAAATATTGACTTCAAATTTTGTAAATTTATATATATATATCTGTGCACTCAATGTACTTAAAAATGTGTCAATTAAAAAAAAATAATTGAAAGCTTGTGTACAGTCATCATATAAGTTTTTATTTAAAATTGTGTAAAAACCCAAATATTGATATAATAAGTAAAGTCATTATTTACATGTTTACTTAAAACTGTGTAAATAAATAATATTAATATCATATAAAAATCATTGAATAAGAAATTTACTTAAAGTTTGTGATGCTCCACCCAACCGTGCTGAGGTCGCTGCTTTAACTTCTGGGAAAGGCTTTCTGAAGGTGAAAGATGAGTTGACATTTTTATCTCCTAACTCAGCCTTAGTTTTGTCTGCAGTCTGAAAAATGACAAGTGAATTAGGATGACGCTTTTGTTGGTACATGTTGTCTATTATATTCACTTATGTCTAATATACAAAGTAAAGGTAAAATAATGAATAATTACAATTCAATAAAATCTTACAGTTTTGACAGCTTCATTGCCAGGTTCCATAATTTTTGTTTGTTCTTCAAACTAGTTTGTGCGTTCTGTAACAAGCTTGGACTAAATTCAAAACAAAATAAAGAAATTAATTGAGAGGTTTTAACTGTCTGCTCACTAAATCTACTTATGTGTTACATGCAATATAATACTGAACCCATTTGAAAATATCAGGCTATGCCAATCTGTAGAAAAGGTATTCATTTTGTAATTTAAATGTATAACACTTTCTTATGTTTGTTAATGGTTTTTTAAAAAAGTTACAAATGGAACAGAAGCCTTTTTTACATTAGCCGAAAACAGTAAATATATTAAGAATAACAAAAAATATAACACTAGAATATACACAGAAATAGAATAAGAGAAATGATAAACATCGCAAGGATTCTGTTTTATGTGGTCATGCAATAGTTAGTTTTTTAGTTTTGTTTAGAATAGATTTTCAGATAAAGAGACAATAGTTTTTAAAACTTTTAAAGTTATAACTTTTATTTAATTTACATTAGCAATCTTGTTCCATAAATTTAAACAAATTATCGAATTATCACCAGAGTATTTTCACTTAGATTTTTAGATGAGATCTACTAACTAAGAGTAGGATTATCTTTTCGGGTAATCTCCAAGTATAGCGTAGGAAATTATCCAGTAATGTTTTGTAGAGTTTGGTAAACATTACTTACTGTAAACCATAGTTTATCTGAACATTGAAATATAAATAGTCAAGTGTACTAAATAAGTGTTTGAACTATATTTTAAGTTTAATTGACATTCACAAAGAAACAGAAATAAATAGAAAATTAGTTACAGTTAAATCTAGTAGCTCTAAATATAAATAATAAAGTCAAGTGTAGTAGCCTAATTAGTCTAATTATTTTTTTAGAAACAGAAATAAAAAACTTTGTGACGGTCAATTAGATATCCAGACCTAGAATCTAGGCCAAGTAAATATGTTTACCAAAATAGTAAAAATGGCTAGAAATAGAACAATGTTTAATAGCAGCAATAATTAGCAAAAACACTTAAAAATAATTAGAAATACAAAATTAATGGCAAAATAATAGTATTTAATTTTATTAACATGCACTTAAAATCAATCTAGAATCTAGATATATCAACATTTTAAAATCAAAACAAAACATGGTGCCAAATAAAGTTTAATAAGGTAAGGTTTAATTTTAAAGAGAAGTAGAATAGATCAACCACCAGTGGATTCTGGAACGACGTGACAGACTACGTCTTATACCATTTTTTAAAATGCTAATCTGTATAGAGTATAGATCTAGATCTACTAATAACATTCCAGAATAATAATCTAGGCTTTGCTAAATTTATTCTAACTACTCAAATACATTGGGCTTGACTCAGACTCTAGTAGCTACTAGTAACTAGATCTAGATCTAGATTAGTAGCTCAGGCTGGTGTAGGTGTAGACTGTCGAGTCTAGCTAGCTAACTACTAGCTAGCCACATCTAGAAAATCTAGATCTAGACCAGATCTGGTTATTCTAGACGTCTACTAGATCTAGATCTAGTTAGTGGCTAGCTGCTACTGTTAGCTAGACTGATTAACTCTATCTATGATCTAATGCTAACTCACTCGGGTAATCTATCGTTTTGGGTACGTAAAATCGCCTGCGGCTATTAATGTACGAAAACGTTACCTCATTGTCAAGGCTGTAATAGAAGTATATTGTGATATGTTTGTGTCAAATATTATAGATAAATGAATAATAAACCTAAATCAATGGCTAAATATATCAATATAGGCCAGAAATTAACTTTAAACAGCTGTGTCTGCAAGCAAGATTTGCTATATAAACAGCAGCCATTTGTAAAATAGAGTGACTTCCGCCTGAATCTTGCGCTATATGTCTATAAAAATAAAACTTTAACAAGATGGCTGCTATAGTAAATGAGCGTGGTTGCATCTGTTGGAAATATCGCTGGTGTTCATTTATTACTGAAAAGTTTTAATTCAATTGTTTAAAAACAGGTACATACATGAAACAAGGAAACATTTTTGTATTTTTCAAAACATAAATCCTCCTCAAAATGTGAAATAATTATTAAAATGTAAGGAGTCACCTGTTTTTCACATTACTAGTCGCGGCCGATTTTACGTACCTAAAACGATAGATTACCCTCACTCGTTATATTATAAAATAAATTGTCCATGGTTGATGAGAATCAAATATTCTTTAACTCAGTAAGCGTCACTTGCAGGTCCATAATAATTAGAATAAGTTAACAGAGAGAGAGAGCTACAACAGTATGATGAGTATGTTGATACATCACAGTTAACACTGAGACCAATCATATTTAATATTTAATTATTTATGATTCTAGCCCTCAACAGTAGTCAACAGTCATAAGACATAACATAAACATTTGACGATAATGATATTCATTGGATTTTAGTTTAGATTTAGATCTAGAAATCTAGATCTAGATCTAATAATTTGATATACAGCGAGATATTTCATTAGCTTTTTTAAATTAGCTTTCACTCATCCAGTAAAACGTTTAAATATTTTAAATACCATAAATGAAATGAGAAACAAGCCAACACGACTGGCATCTACAGAAGTAAATAAGCCGCCATATTTTAAAAATAGATTTGGGTGTTTAAAAAATGAATTAGGCTCTAATATATTGAAACAAACTTAAGCCTAGATCTATGCTACCAAATTGTAACACATAAACATTCATTAAAAAAAAACGTTTTAATTACAAGCTTTTATGTAATAATGCACTAAAAAGTAGAAAAAAAATTGTACACTACTATTTAAATAGTTAAAAAATAAAGAAAGTATATATATATATATATATATATATATATATATATATATATATATATATATATATATATATATATATATATATATATATATATATGTGTGTGTGTGTGTGTGTGTGTTGTGTGTGTGTGTGTGTGTGTCGGCTAACATGGGCCTAAAATTTAAATATGCGCCACATATGCGTACATTCATGTGAATAAGCTCTTTTCACCGCAGACGTAATAGTAACCACAGGGGCGTAGCGTGGGGGGGGGGGGGGGGGGGGGGGCGGGGGGTGCGGACCGCACCGGGTGACACCATTTAGGGGGGTGACACCAAGGCAAAAAATAGCAAAATATATAGAGAAAAACTCGAGGGGGGGGGGGTGCAAATCGAAAGTTTGAGGGGGGGGGTGCAAATCGAAAACTTGAGGGGGGGGGGGTGCAAATCGAAAGTTTGAGGGGGGGGTGCAAATCGAAAATTTGAAAGTTTGTCCCTGGGAAGGGTCTCTATGCCTCTGGGGGGGTGACACCATTAAGTGCCGCACCGGGTGACACCCGACCTCGCTACGCCACTGAGTAACCATGTTTATCTATAGTCTGTTAATAATACATTTTGGATGTAGCATTGTTTTCTCCAGAGTTAACACGTTTACGTCACGGTGTCACCCAAACCCCTTTGTAATAATTTGTTCCTAAAAGACAATATATTTAATTAATCAAACAGGCAAAAAGCAATTTTCTGTACATTTTGCAATTTTTTGCCTTGGTTTCACCCCCTAAACAGTGTTTCTTCCAGACTTTTTTCTCCGCGGGGGGGGGGGGGGGGGGGGCACTTGAAATTTTCGGGGGGGGGCGGTAAATTTTCTTCGGGGGGGGGGGGACACTGTTAAAAGTATATATTTTCTATATAAATTATATAAATGGTGTCATCCGGCTCAGTCCGCACCCCGCCCTTGCTACGTCTCTGCCTGTAGTTCACCTATTTGAATAGTACTTAGATTCTACATATTATTTGAAAAGTCCACATTTGCTGTTAAGGACAGGCACCACGGATAAAAATATTTTTTTTATTTAACACATTTCTGGTTGTTTAATAAGTTCATATGATTATAGTTGTTAAACTATAGACAAAAATAATATATGGCCGTCAATAGCAGTACTGGTTGCCATGGAAACCGCGAAAAGGTGTGAAAACTAACACCTTTTCAAATCGCTAAGGCTTTGTTCCCATAAGAGATTTTAAAAAGCGGATGAAAGATTTAGGTTTCTCAAACCAAACTATACATTTCTACGTTTACTCATTGCGATAGCTTGTACTCAATTTTTAATACAAATTTTTACGTAAATGTATGTGCAAAAATTAGGGGGTGGTGTTACATAAATATCAATATTTCCTAAAGTATTGTAGCAAACTTAATGAACAAACGTAGTTTTGTAGATGGTATCATGCTGAATGCACGTGGAATGTTTTATTCTTGTATGACAAAGGGTTCCAAAGCCTTAGCGATTTGAATGTTGAATTTTGAGTAAAAATGCAAAGTTGAGAAAACGTGAAAAGAAGAGCGGGAAAAGGCACGGCGCGTTTTCTCTTATAGAAAACAGAAAAAAACGTCTTGTTATATGTGGAAGAACCATTTGTCTAATAAAATACGCTTTGATTTATGTTGTAAGTTTTAGACAGAATTTTTCTATGTAAGCAGAAAATATGTATACAACAGGTAATGAATGTATGACTATTTAGTATTACACATCCTATCAATCGAGCGGTATTCTCAGAACAGCTATTTTCAAACCAGATCAAGTTTTGTTTGTTAGCCGGTCTTCTCACTTCGAAACAATGTCTTTCTCTACTCAAATTGTAGCTTACACAAGTTTATTGCCTTATGATAATAGCCTACAACACAACACTGGGTACAACGCTTGAGGCTAGACACGCCCCCTCCACCCCACCCCACCGCTGGATAGTGCGTGAAGAACCGATGAGCCATAGATTACCAATGTTCATTCAACCGCGAATAACACATCTGTGTAGATAGGGTCAAGTACAGGGCCTAAGTGAATGCTTCTCAGCTATCCTATCTAGTATTTACATTAGTTGCTACCACACCCTATACGGAGAGATGGGCATACACATTAACACATGTGTCATATACAGTCCGGTGTAAAGCCTGATGAACGCCTTCAAGCCTATCACATCATGCCGTAACTAGATTATAAACCGGCCTTTGGTTAAATGGCGAGAAGGGAATGAAGGGGGTAAAGGGGATGGACAGTACATTCTTCAAACTGATAGTCATGTCCATGACGCATTGTTTCAGCTTAGTATAAAGCGTACGAAACAGTGTTTAATATTGTTCCAGTGATAATCAACAGTGCATTTCTAGGCCACGTTTCAATTACTAAACTTAATGTTGTTGTATAACTTTAAAACAACAAATAGAAGAGTATACGCAAATGAGGTAAACAAACGAGACAGGCGATTGTTTTGTTTATCTAGAAACAAGATGGCTGCCTAGCACACGTGGTTAGTTGCAGCCTATCGTGAATTATTTTGATTTACTGTACTATAATATGATTGGTCAAGCGTATCAATGAATCTCTTCCCCTTCATAATTTTTATGCGCATGCCCTTATATGGAGTTTGATGTAAAATTTTATTTTGTAGAAAACAACTTCTATCTCACTTATTTTTAGAACAAAAGAAAAGGTCACTACACCAGCGGGTACACGAGTGCTTGGCCCTTAGATTGCTGTAAAGTTTATGGTGCCCCGCGGGCCATAAATACATGTAATACCCGCTCGAAGATAGCCGCTGTCCGCGTAGTAGTGTGAAAACTTGTCGGGGGGGTACCATGTTTCACATCGCAATAAACGGATAACCGTAAGCTGTAGAAGTCCGAGATGTTCGGGTTAGAGAGATAAAAGGTATTAGTATCGAAATAAAAATTTTGGGGAGCAAAATTATAATTTTATCGAAAACATGGGTATCTTGTTCCCTTAATTATAATGTTGGGGGGATCATTAGTAGCCATTAATTCGAAATCGGTATAGCGTATATAGTAAGGGGCAGACTATAGAAGATCGATTAAAAAATGAAGACACCCTGAAAAGACAATAGCTGTTATTATCCTACTTAAGTTATCACTATATTTTTTGGAGTTATGGTAAATAGTTTCATGAGTTAAGTGGTATGCCTGTAGTATACAGCTAGGTAAATAATGAGGAACTGTTGTGAAGGTATCTTACATAAATCAATACAAATGTATAATACCTTGTGATTTATTATTAGTTCCTTTAAGTGACTTCTGTTAGAACTTGGTTATTCATAAACGATATGTTAGTTTGACATAGCTTTTGACCTTTTATCACATTTTAATGTTATACATATCAGGTGTTGACGGTGGTTGTATTTTTTATCAAACACAAAATAGTCCGTTCCTAGACTATCGTGTAGCATTATTTTAGAAATAAACGTGTTTACCGTTTTGATTAAAATTATAATATAATAAATACAAAATTATGTTTAAATAATATACATCCGTTAACGATATGTTTTCCATAATATAAACCTCAATCAGGAGAATATTCATCTTCATTTTTTTTCCTGCCGAAAACACATAGGGCAGATGAAATTGAGGTCATCTGTTTCAATGACAACGGCATAATGTGATCAGCATTATGCCCAGCCGTGTTTGTTTCATTAACGTGCGTCAGGTAGCCGTCAGAACTGGGTTAACTCGGGGAGCAACGGGTTAGCAGTCTAGTGCTCTAACGCTCGACCACGCCGTCCCACAATCAGGGGATGCCCTTAGGGGGCGCCAAAATGGGTTGGAAAAATAAATTGAAAGGTTGAGGGGGGGGGGTGCAAATAGGAAGTTTGAGGGGGGAGGGGTGCAAATCGGAATCTTGAGGGGGGGGGGGTAGGGTGCAAATCGAAAAGTTTGTCCCCGGGCGCCGGGAAGGGTCGCTACGCCTCTGTGCTTGTCCAGCCTATGTCACCGAAAAGAGGAAGAGTTGCCTCCCATATGATTGTCGACTAAAATTTAAGGGAGGCTAAGTGTAGTAACTTTTAAAAAAAGATAGAATCAGAAATACATGTATGAATAGTTATAAATTGCACTTATATAAAAGAAAACACATAATAAATAAACATACTGCTTTTGAATAATCATTACACTAATCACTTACTTTGATTATTTCCTATTGCAAATGTCTTAAATCTAAAACAAAAAACTAAGACAGTTTGCGTTGAATTTTTAGATAACCCCACAATCCCTTTAACTGTTCCAACGACCCCACCACCCACCGCAACATCAATATCCAGAACTTATTTAAAGTTCTAAATCTTGTCTCTTTCCCCTCATCTTTCACACTGCAACCTTTTGAAAACTCAATGCGACCACTACAACACCCTTTCAACTAGTCAACTTAAGTTATTTCCCTACATAGAAAATGCTTCACTGTCCCATTGACCCTCTCTGAAAAATTTCCTTTCCTCTCCCCACCCAGACTTCTGACACTTTCATTTGACCTTCACCCCTTTTACTGTCATCCTTTGCAATTTTTTTTTATAATCAAATACATGACTTCATGTAAATATTCATTATGTACATTTGCAAAACCTTTCGTTTTCATTTGGTGTTCAAAATTATGTTAAAAAATTTGATGTTGATGTACTTGTTTTAATTGCAAATAAAAGTATTTAAAAAAAAAATAAAAAAAAAAAAAAAAAAAATTGATTTTCAAATATTCTACATAGAATCTATGTACAAGTGTATTTTAAAAAATTAATTTCGATATTCGAAATTTTCATTTCTTAAAAATAAAATATTA